GGGGAAAGGGGAAATGGGGGAAATAATGGGGAGGGGGAAATGGAGAGGGGATCCTGGGCTGGGGATGGGGGAGGAGGACACAGGGACACAGGTCAGGCGACACCGGGGGACATCTCCCTGTGTCACCCCCCCGGCCCCAGAGACCTCCCCGAGGGGGGAAATGGGGAAATGGGGAAAGGGGGAACTGGGGAAAGGGGGAATTGGGGAAAGGGGGAACTGGGAATGATCCTTCTGCATCACGGTGTGTGTGGGCGCAGCTGGTGCTGCTGGAGGGCACCTGCTCTGTGTCACCTGTGTCACCTGTGCCACCTGTCCCTCCTCGGTGTCACCTGTGCCTGTTCCATGTCACCTGCGTCACCTGTGCCACCTGTCCCTCCTCGGTGTCACCTGTGCCTGCTCAGTGTCACCTGTGCCTGTTCCATGTCACCTGTGTCACCTGTGTCACCTATGTCACCTGTGCCTGTTCCATGTCACCTGTGCCACCTGTCCCTGCTCTGTCACCTGTGTCACCTGTATCACCTGTGCCACCTGTCCCTCCTCAGTGTCACCTGTTCCTGCTCAGTGTCACCTGTGCCTGCCTGCTCTGTGTCCCAGCTCTGAGCCCTGAGTGTCCCTCCAGGTGTCCCCAGGTGTTCCCAGATGTCCCCCAGGTGACCCCAAAGCCCCCAGGTGTCTCAGATGTCCCCAAGTGTCCAAGCCTCACCTGTCTGTTCATGAAGATGTAGGTGATGGGGTTGTAGATGGTGATCCCTGTCCCTGCTCTATCTCCTGTCCCAAAACCCCCATGCGCCTCAGGTGTCCCCAGGTGTCCCCAGGTGTCCCCAAAGCCCCCAGGAGCCCCCAGGTGAGTCCCTCACCTGTCTGTTCATGAAGACGTAGATGATGGGGTTGTAGATGGTGATCCCTGTCCCTGCTCTATCTCCTGTCCCAAAGTCCCCAGGTGTCCCCCAGGTGCCCCCAGCTGTCTCAGGTGTGTCCCCAGCTGTCTCAGGTGTCCCCCAGGTGTCCCCAGGTGCCTCCAGCTGTCCCCAGGTGCCCCAGGATTCCACCCTCACCTGTCTGTTCATGAAGACGTAGATGATGGGGTTGTAGATGGTGAGCCCTGTCCCTGTCCCTGTCCTATGTCCCTGCTCTATCTCCTGTCCCAAAGCTCCCAGCTGTCTCAGGTGTGTCCCCAACTGTCCCCAGGTGTCTCAGGTACCCCCAAGTGTCCCCAGGTGTGTCCCCAGGTGTCCCCAGGTGCCCCAGGATGCCACCCTCACCTGTCTGTTCATGAAGACGTAGATGATGGGGTTGTAGATGGTGATCCCTATCCCTGTCCCTGTCCCTGTCCTATGTCCCTGCTCTATCTCCTGTCCCAAAGCCCCCAGGTGTCCCCAGGTGTCCCCAGCTGTCTCAGGTGTGTCCCCAGGTGAGTCCCTCACCTGTCTGTTCATGAAGACGTAGATGATGGGGTTGTAGATGGTGATCCCTGTCCCTGTATCCCCTGTATCCCCTGTGTCCCCTGTGCCCCCAGGTGTCTCAGGTGTGTCCCCAGGTGTCTCAGGTGTGTCCCCAGGTGCCCCCAGGTGAGTCCCTCACCTGTCTGTTCATGAAGACGTAGATGATGGGGTTGTAGATGGTGATCCCTGTCCCTGTATCCCCTGTATCCCCTGTGTCCCCTGTGCCCCCATGTGTCTCAGGTGTCCCCCAGGAGCCCCCAGGTGCCCCCAGGTGAGTCCCTCACCTGTCTGTTCATGAAGACGTAGATGATGGGGTTGTAGATGGTGATCCCTGTCCCTGTATCCCCTGTGTCCCCTGTGTCCCCTGTGCCCCCAGGTGTCTCAGGTGTGTCCCCAGGTGAGTCCCTCACCTGTCTGTTCATGAAGACGTAGATGATGGGGTTGTAGATGGTGATCCCTGTCCCTGCTCTATCTCCTATCCCAAAGCTCCCAGGTGTCCCCAGCTGTCTCAGGTGTGTCCCCAGGTGTCTCAGGTGTGCCCCCAGGTGAGTCCCTCACCTGTCTGTTCATGAAGACGTAGATGATGGGGTTGTAGATGGTGGCTGACTTGGCGAAGTAGGCGGGCAGGGCAGCGGCCAGCGGGTGGAAGGAGTAGCCGGGGTTGGCGGCGGCGAAGCAGGCGAAGAAGGTGTAGGGCCCCCAGCACACGATGTAGGCCAGGATCATCACCACCACCATCCGCGACACCTCCCGCTCCGCCTTCTGCGTCGACTCCGACTCCTTCTGCTGGGCGGCACCTGGGGGGCACGGGGGTGTCAGAGGGGAGGTGGGGCAGGTGGACCCCGTAGGGGCTTGGGGGCACTGGGGGTCAGACGGGAGATGGGGGTGTCAGAGGGGAGGAGGGGGAGATGGGGGCAGATGGACCCCCATAGGGGCTTTGGGTGGAGGCACGGGGGTGTCAGAGGGGAGATGGGGGCAGGTGGACCCCCATAGGGGCTTGGGGGTGCACAGGGGGTGTCAGAAGGGAGGGAGGGGAGATGGAAGGGCAGGAGGGGGAGATGGACCCCGTGGGCTTTGGGGGCACAGGGGAACTTTGGGGTAGCACAGGGGTGTCAGAGGGGAGATGGGGGCAGATGGACCCCATAGGGGCTTGGGGGCACAGGGGGCGTCAGAGGAGGGAGGGGAGATGAGGGGCAGATGGACCCCATAGGGGCTTGGGGGCACAGGGGGCGTCAGAGGGGGAGGGGGGAGATGAGGGGCAGATGGACCCCATAGGGGCTTGGGGGGCACAGGGGGGCGTCAGAGGGGAGGGAGGGGGAGATGAGGGCAGATGGACCCCATAGGGGCTTGGGGGGCACAGGGGCGTCAGAGGGGAGGAGGGGAGATGAGGGGGCAGATGGACCCCATAGGGGCTTGGGGGCACAGAGGGGTGTCAGAGGGAGGGAGGGGGAGATGAGGGGGCAGATGGACCCCATAGGGGCTTGGGGGAGGGCAGAGGGGGTCAGAGGGGAGATGGGGGGGCAGATGGACCCCATAGGGGCTTGGGGGCACAGGGGGTGTCAGACGGGAGATGGGAGAGGGCAGATGGACCCCTAGGAGCTTGGGGAGCACAGGGGTGTCAGAGGAGGGAGGGGAGATGAGGGGGCAGATGGACCCCCATAGGGGAGCTTAGGGGGGCACAGAGGGGTTTCAGAGGGGAGATGGGGGGCAGGAGGGGGCAGATGGGGTCTAAGGGGGCTGGGGAGATGGACCTTAGGGGGCTCTGGAGGAGCCCTGGGGGCTTTGGGGGCACAGGGGGTGTTGGAGGGGAGGGAGAGGGGAGATGGGGGGCAGGGAGGGAGATGAGGTCGAAGGGGGCTGGGGAGCTAGACCCCCGTGGGGAGCTAGTGGGGGAGGTGGACCCCATGGGGAGACTTTGGGGGGCACAAGGGTGTTAGAGGGAAGGGGGAAGGGGGTGGGAGGGTGGAAAGAGTGGGAGGGGAAGATGTGGGTGCAGGAGGGGGCAGATGGGGGCTCTAAGGGGGCGGGAAGGGGAGATGGACCCCAGTGGGGGGCTCTGGAGGGGCCCCGTGGGGGCTTTGGGGGGGTGGGGACCGTCCTGGATTCTCCAGGGTGTTTTTGGGGTCCTTTAGGGCACCCCATGGGCTCAGGGGGTCTCCCTGGGTCTTTTTGGGGTCTGAGCTCCTTTGGGGAGTCCCGGTGGTCCCGGGAGGGTTCCTGGAGGTTCCAGGACACCCCATGGTTTGAGGTGGGTCTCCCGGGTCTCCTTAGGCTCTGAGCTCCTTGGGGGTCCCGGTGGTCCCGGGGGGTTCCTGGAGGTTCCAGGGCACCCCATGGGCTGGGGTGGGGTCTCCCCGGGTTTCTTTAGGGTCTGAGCTCCCCTCGGGGGTCCCGGTGGTCCTAGGGGGGTTCCTGGAGGTTCCAGGGCACCCCATGGTTTGGGATGGGGTCTCCCCGGGTCTTTTTGGGGTCAGAGCTCTCTTGGGGGGTCCCGGGGGGTTCCCGGAGGGAGGTCCCAGGTTCCAGGACACCCCATGAGCTGGGGGGGGTTCGCCCCTGGTTTCTCTGGGGTCAGAGCTCTCCTGGAGGGTCCTGGTGGTCCTAGGGGGGTTCCCGGCGGTTCCAGGGCACCCCATGGTTTGGGGTGGGGTCTCCCCGGGTTTCTTTAGGGTCTGAGCTCCCCTGGGGGGTCCCGATGGTCCCGGGGGGCTTCCTGGAGGGAGGTCCCAGGTTCCAGGGCACCCCATGGGCTGGGGTGGGGTCTCCCTGGCTTTCTTTGGGGTCAGAACTCCATTGTGGGGGGGTGGTCCCAGGTGTCTCAATGGTCTCTCGGGGTGGGGGGTGGGGTGGTTCGTGAGTTCCTGGTGGTCTCAGGGGGTCCCGGGTGGGGGGTGGTTCGTGAGTTCCTGGTGGTCTCAGGGGGTCCCGGGGGAGGGGGTTTGTGGGAGGGGGGAATCCTCACCGCCCGGATGGCGAGCCAGACTTGCAGGTAGCAGAAGATGATGATGGCCAGGGGGATGATGCAGCAGGTGATCATCAGGACCACCATGTAGGACTGGACCCCCGGGTCGCTGCTGCCGCTGAACACGTCGGGGCCGCAGGACGTTTTCAGCCCGTGGGGCCAATACCTGGAGGGGGGGGATGAAAAAAAGGGGGACACACAAAAAGGGTCAGCGGCGCCGGGAGAGACCCCCAAACCACCCCCCCCAGGGTAGATTGCCCCCCAACCTGCTCCAGCCGAAGATGGGGGGCGCGGTCCAGGCGCAGGACCAGATCCAGGAGAAGAGGATCCCGGCGATCGCCAGCTTCCCGTCGAACTTGATGTTGCCGAAGGGTTTGCACACCACGAACCAGCGCTCCCACGAGATGATCACCAGCGACCACAGCGCTGTGATGCCTGAGGGGGGACAGGGGAGCGGGGAGGGGGGATTAGGGGACTGCCCCATAGCCCCCAGACCCACAGAGAACTGTAGAGCCCAGCCCTAGAGCCCCCAGACCCACAGAGACCTGTAGAGCCCGGCCCTATAGCCCCCAGACCCACAGAACTCGGTCCTATAGCCCCCAGACCCACAGAGATCTGTAGAGCCCGGTCCTATAGCCCCCAGACCCACAGAGACCTGTAGAGCCCAGCCCTAGAGCCCCCAGACCCACAGAGAACTGTAGAGCCCAACCCTAGAGCCCCCAGACCCACAGAGACCTGTAGAGCCCGACCCTAGAGCCCCCAGACCCACAGAGACCTGTGGAGCCCGACCCTAGAGCCCCCAGACCCACAGAGACCTGTAGAGCCCGGTCCTATAGCCCCCAGACCCACAGAACTCGGTCCTATAGCCCCCAGACCCACAGAGACCTGTAGAGCCCGACCCTAGAGCCCCCAGACCCACAGAACTCAGTCCTAGAGCCCCCAGACCCACAGAGACCTGTGGAGCCCGGCCTTATAGCCCCCAGACCCACAGAACTCGGTCCTATAGCCCCCAGACCCACAGAGAACTGTAGAGCCCAGCCCTAGAGCCCCCAGACCCACAGAACTCGGTCCTATAGCCCCCAGACCCACAGAGAACTGTAGAGCCCAGCCCTAGAGCCCCCAGACCCACAGAACTCGGTCCTATAGCCCCCAGACCCACAGAGACCTGTAGAGCCCGGCCCTAGAGCTGTCCTCCTGTCTGTCCCCCTGTCTGTCCCCTCACCCACCGCAGGTGCTGACGGTGTAACCCTGACCCCAAACCCGTCCCCTGTCTGTCCCCCCGTCTGTCCCTCTGTCTGTCCCCCTGTCTGTCCCCCGTCTGTCCCCCTGTCTGTCCTCCCGTCTGTCCCCCTGTCCCCCCCCGTCTGTCCCCCTGTCTGTCCCCTAGTTTGTCCCTCTGTCTGTCCCCCTGTCTGTCCCTCTGTCTGTCCCCCTGCCCCCCGTGTCACCCACCGCAGGCGCTGACGGTGTAACCCTGACCCCAAACCCATCCCCTGTCCCCCTGTCCCCCTGTCTGTCCCCTGTCCCCCTGTCTGTCCCCTCACCCACCGCAGGCGCTGACGGTGTAACCCTCGATGATGCACAGGGGGTGGCCGAGCACGAAGTAGCCGAAGATTTGGTTGATGACGCTGATGGTGCTGGCGATGACGGTCTCGCCCAGGTCAGCCACGGCCAGGTTGACCAGGATCCAGTTCAGGGGGTGCCGCAGCTTCTTGAACTTGGCGGTGGCCACGAGCACCAGCCCGTTGGTGAACACCGAGGCGATCACCACGAAGATCATCCACAGCGACGTCAGGTTGTACACCCAGCGCGGGGCGATGTGGTAGTTGGGGCCCTCGAAGGGACCTGGGGGGGGGGAAACGAGGGGGTCAGAGCCCTCCAAATGTCACCACTCTGTCCCCCAGTGTCCCCTTTTGTCCCTCAGTCTCCCCTCTTGTCCCCCAGGGTCCCCTCTGTGCATGTGGTTGGTGTGGTAGTTGGGACCCTCGAAGGGACCTGGGCGGGGGGGCACGAGGGGGTCAGTGCCCTCAAAATGTCACACCCCCATTCTTCTGTGTCCCCCAGTGTCCCCCAGGGTCCCCCAATGTCCCCTCATGTGCCTCAGTGTCCCCCAGTGTCCCTCAGTGTCCCCCAGTGTCCCCCAATGTCCCTCAGTGTCCCCTCATGTCCCCCAGTGTCCCCTCATGTCCCCCCGTGTCCCCCCCATGGGTGTTGTTGGTGTGGGGAGTTGGAGCCCCTGAGGAGACTTGAGGGGGGCACGAGGGGGTCAATGACAGCCTTGTGTCCCTCCTGGTGTCCCCTCATGCCCCCC